TAGAATTGTTTTATTCTGTACATAATGTACCTATACATATGTTTTGTAATAGAATAATTTCTTTAATGTTTAAATGTTATAATTCTTTACAGCATTGCTCTCTTATTTATGTCTACATTTTACACTTAATGTTATTTTGTACTTTATATTATTGAGAGACGAGACTTGAACAAAATGTCGAATAACATTACATCTAACTAAAAATAACGTTAACTTATGTATGATAGTTACCTTTTTACTGTAGAAGTTTAAAAGCTTTTCTAATTAATGCTTTAGTTTTATTTAGGTCGTTGTTTTATATTTTGTATTTGAAGTAACATTTTCTTTTAATATCGTCAAAATAATCTTTATTGAAATATTAATTCAGTTTGTAGCTCTATCTATTTAGTTTGTATTTTATAGCTATACAATTGGGTTGATACTTTATTGTTAAGGGGAAATGATTCAGTTTTACACTGAATTGTCATTTTCGTGATGTTGAAATATATTTTAAATGTAGAATTTAAAAAATATGTAAAAAAAACCAACATAAAATAGGTTACCGTGCTTGTTTATGATATAAATAAGGTTCAAAATTGGGAGTTTGAGTCGCAACTTTCTTTTAACTCTGAAGAGGCAGTATCTACATTTGTACGAGTTTCATGAAAAAAATTGGTTGACCGTTTTTTTTTTCTTCTAGAATATAGTACAATGTGTATATGAAATACGAATGAATGCAAATCTTGACATCTTTTATTGCGATAATTATACCTTTTATCAAGACGTTAATTTTTTCACTTAACCCTGGATAACCTGATAACCGTACAAAGGTCTTTTGATTAAGAAAACGGTTTTACATAAACAACATGTAATCGAGATACATCGAAGCTTTAACGACTAAAAAAGAGATCGTGTTAAAGTTTTAGAGAACTATGCCAGCTGGACTACGATAAATATCAAGAGACAGTGTAAACAAAGAGTTAAAAGGCTGTACTCAATTTTAATTAGTTACGAATTTTTAAAAACATCACCTGAATGTACGCCATGGATCAAAGACTCTAGGACGCAATTATTTTTATAAATGAGATTGTGAGTCTGGATTAAAAGTTATCTTCACGATTTAGGCAATTTTGATATTCAAAACATAAGTTGAGTGCGGAAAATGAAATTTTATGAAAAAATAAATGTGATCAGACGAGTCAAACAAAGGGTACACGACAGAACAAAACAACGTAGAAATGGCAAAAACAAAATCGTATAAAAACAGCAGTAACTGCTACCAAATTTTAGATTTTAAATATGACTGTATATATACCAGTTTGAATATATATAATTAAGTGTGGTGGCGGTGTATATAAGTGAATAAAGAAGAAGTTTTACAATTAATGGAATTGCCAGAAATGCTGATTTCAATTTATAACGGATACTACATTTAAATAAGGGATTCTACACTTCAAGAGGATTTCTCAACTGAAGTGGTTCATCCGATACAGGTGGAATTTACAGAATAGGTAACAGGTAACAGGTAAAGGATAATGAATCTACTAATTGATTATAGAAAATATTCATAAAAAGAGAGTGTCAGGCAAATAAAATAAATTCAATTCGAATGCTGATACGTAATTTAAAATTATATTTACGTTTAGTACATACATGTATGAACACATGCTTCAAGAAGGGTAGATTATGACGTGAGTGTACATACTTGCATAATTAATGAGCTTTGGTCTAACAGATAGCACAAAAAAGAGGTTTTTGCTCTAAACTATAATCTTACAGTCCGAAATAGGCCACAAAAAATATTTCAATTGATATCTATAAAGTTACTGCATTTTTACGGCTTTTAAAACATTCATGAATTCCGTAGATATTACCTCTTTGAGATTTTTATAAATTCTATATTTAGCTATAAATGATCAAAGTTAGTTTTATTGAACGACTATAATAGATGTGCATTAGCGAAAAACTGAATAACATCCAAGCAGTTCTGTTTGCTTTTAACATCTTAGTGAATATTCGTATAACATACAAAAATAAGTTAAATTTGCCGACCTTTATCAAAAGGATTTGCATTGTCGATTATCCAATTGTTTTCATTTATAACCATAATTTAGGTTAAACGGCCAAAAGGCAATACCATTCTTTGAAATAGACTATAGAAATTTGCAAAAAAGCTTGACAAAAATTAAAATTTACTTCAATTCAATTTAATATCTTTTAAACCGATTAGCAACACCCCTATTAAACGTTTTCAAACTGCGGGTATTGCTTATTCAACTGTTCTCGTCGGAATAAAGGTGATCACGCGTTCACAATGACTTAACTAGATTCGACCATTCAATAAACAGAACTATTAAACTTTGTTAAAGCTTAAATGACTTTTAGCTTTTTAAATATTGTTAAATGGTTTGTCTTTATTCCCATCAATAATTCCGTAAGAAGAGTTTTCAATAATGCTAACTAATTATACAAAGGTATCATATTATTGTGTATTTGTTTCAGTGATTTATTAATTTGTATAAATTTTTATATTATTTCATCTTAATTTTATTATACACGTCTAAACATGTGACAACTTTATTACATACATTCTCCATCGGATAACAGTTATACAGGGCTAACACCATAATATATATATAATTCGTCTCAAAATTATCACAACAATGTCAGATCTTCAAATTGGCGACATGTATAATAAAATTAAAATTTAATGTGGCGGCTTGGTAATTAACATTATCATCCTTTACGACAGACAAAATATTTGATCTGAAAGGTACACCATCTACTTGCCACTAAAAATCATGTACTGTGTTACAATTCTAGATAAAGCCGACGAGTTGAGGCATTACATCGACCACCGAAAGCTATATTTGTATGTAGCCTTGGTGGTCGAGTGGTCTAGGGCGCTGGACACGGTGCAGACGGTGTTGCCATGGTGTCACAGAAGCAAGGTTCGAATCCCGCTGAGGTAAGAACAACATGTAAAAAAACGATATGTATTTCTTTTGCATTTGGCACTTTCTTGAAAAGGTTTTGGAAAGATTAACTTGATAATTTAAATAAATTATCTAGTATTTTGCAAAAACTGATTCAATACGAGTTCAAAATTGAAATGGATTGCTTACATTTAATGTGTTTTTGACGAATGTGAACTTTTTTAAACATATGGAATAATCACGAACCTGTGAAAATAAAAGGCTATGTTTGAAATCTATTGTTAAGCACGAATTCCGTTAAATGATAATTGCAGAGCTAAAAAACTAAAAATTAAGAGAAAACAATAACTAGTTTGTCTCTTCTGATTCGTTTTAAAATAACAATTTTTGTCTTTAAACTGGTTTGATTATTCATTTTGCACATTATACATTTTCAGATTTGAGACCTGTAATACGTTTCCACTATTGGGATATTACAAGAGATAAACGCATTCAAAACGAGTCGTAGAGCAGAAAACAGGTCAAAGCCACCAACGGGTCTTCAACGCAGCGAAAACAATCTACAGTATATATTTGTTATGTTTGACGGACGTCTTTTTCAGCAAGTCATCGGCATTCCATTTTAAACCATATTCTCTTCTTTACGTCTTGTTTAATCACTTATACAGTAAGGTCTGCGTCATTCTTGACTTTCATCTTACGTTTAGTAATTGACAACAAGGATCGGTTGGATACATAACTTTCAGACAAAAAGAGACGCTTTTGGCTCTCAAATTGTGAAGAAAAAACCTGAAACATCCCAGCTGCTCCTGCATATAGAGTCTATGTAACAGTAAAAGATTAAATTCAGTTGGATCCAAAACCAACATTGTACTAAAAACAACATACAAAAGTGATAATCAAACAACAAAACAAAACAAAGACAACTAAAGACTGAGCAACACGAACCCCACCAAAATTCGAGGATATCTCAGGTGCTTCGGAAGCGTAAGCAGATCCTGCTCCACCTGTGACAACCGTCCCTTTTTTAGATCTTAAAAAATTTTGGTTTTCAATTTTGGGGTTATGAAATTTTCTGATATAGATAAATCCAAACAAGCGTATTGGATGCATCAAATTTATAAAGCGTTGTTTGTTCCTTTTCAAAAACGTACCCCCACGTGCTGTTTTTTCTCGTTCTTTTTAGAGTACAGGTAAACCAAACACATTTGAATTAACCCTATGACACTTCTAAATTATCAAAGATATACAGTTAACCTAGTAATGACATAAATGGTACCAATTTTTCTGCACCAAATGCGCATTTCGAGAATCAATGTCTCTTCAGTGATGCTCGAGGCCATTTATAGCTCTTCATATTTTTATTAAGCTTTGTATTTTCAAACATTTTGGCCTCGAGCATCACTGAAGAGATTGATTGTCGAAATCCGCATCTGGTGCAGAAAAAGTGGTACCGTTTATGTTATTACTACCACTGGGTCGATGCCTCTGCTGGTGGACTGATAGTCCCCGAGGGTATCACCAGCCCAGTAGCCACTACTTCGGTACTGGCATGAAAATAAGGATTTTGTCTTATTAAAATTTGCTGTTACAAAATTTTAGAAATTATTAAAAATTAAGGAATGTATCTCCCTCATGCAAAGCTCTGATTCCTTGCTTAGCTTTGGCTATACTTTTTTGTCCTTTTTTTGGTTTATAGCTCTTCATATTTTTATTAAGCTTTGGATTTTCAAATATTTTGGCCTCGAGCATCACTGAAGAGACATTGATTGTCGAAATGCGCATCCGGTGCAGAAAAATTGGTACCGTTTATGCTATTAGCAATCCTAAAACTCAATAAAATACCCTAGAATACATTGAATACCATAAAGACTATGAAATATCACAGTTCAATAGAAAAGGGTACTAAAAGAATTTTATTTGTGTTGTACTTTTTCAATTTGTTGGCACTTCAACATGAATGTTATTTCATTGAAATAATTCATTCCGGGTAGAGGATATGTGTTTTGTTGATATCTAGTTCATGACCAGGAAGTGATTAACACATGTATGATCTAGTGTATTTTTGTCACACAAAAGTATATATTACCTGGGGTTACTCGCTGACATATATCCAATACATATATGAGTGTTTTAACGTATTAATATTTTTTGACCGGTTATTTGTATTTTCCATAAGTTGTGTGTTAGAACAATGATTATGAGACAAGTGAATTAATAGTTACGCAGATACGGAGTAGAGGCGATCTTTAAGAAGCATTTGAAAGCATTTTGTGTTACAAATACAGATGTCGGTGAGTATTAAAATCCTTGCGTATGGTTTTCATGAATCGACAAGTCTTTTCAGGCCTATCGTGTGCAATGTCTTGACAATAGAAAATTTATGATAAAAACAAAACTACTACCGCTATAATAGCAAAATGTGTGCTAATAGTTTATTTTTAATTAAAATTGAGAATGGAAATGGGGAATGTGTTAAAGAGACAACAACCCGACCAAAGAGCAGAAACATTGTTTCGTTACTACATTTAAAACAATATGTTTCAATATAATAGTTACAGCTTTATTGAAGTTATCACTTGGACATGTTTTCAATAAAGCTGGTAATTGCAAGTCTTATTGAGAACTCAGAAAAGAACTGTCACTTCAGGCAAATCAAAACAAAAAAAAAGCGCGTTGGAAGGACTAGAATAGTTAATAGTTATTCTGATTTGGGTTGAACAAGTTTTAGATTTAGTTTCTACACGAATAATTTCATTACGGCTACATTGTATTGATTGAACTTGAGTGGATTTGTTTTAAATAACACATTTGAAATGCCACTTTAAACATGAGATAACAAGTATTACATAACTACATGCACAGGTTGATATCTACTTCGATAACAAAAGAAATGAACTCTGTAATAGATCAGGTAGAAAACGTTGGTATATTTGAAATATGTATATCTGTTACTATGGCCTTTCAACGTTTAATGTAAGTGCATAATTTAGGATTGTTTGCATCAAATATACGTGTTTATACTCAGGTTATAGTATGGAGCTTCGAGAAATTTGTACTTTTGGTGCAAATACATTTGGATCTTTAATCGACATAATCATAAATTCCACAGAAAAAATATTCACGGTAAAAAAAGAAAGATTGATCTTTTGAAATCATTGATTAGCATCTCTGTCCTTGGCACATTTTTTTGGGGGAAATTCTTAAATAAATGAGCAATAAGTCGGACATACCGCCCACTAAGAAGCCCTTTATTTTTCTTTTACTTGTGGTTCTTTTGTATGTTTAACTGCAAAGAACGATGTTTTTTGTGTGTGTAATGTAAATATTTAGTCCTTAAACTCTGAAAACTTTTTAAGTACATCAAATGATGCTTTATAGCTAGTAAATACATTTGTCGTTTAAAGAATAACTGTCATATAAGGATTGTAATGATGCCGTGTGGATAAATAAATGGGTTCTATTTTCACGATCCAACAAATCAAATAGGTGGCCTAATGTGGAGATTATTTCGACGGACTAGAAACCTGATTGATACAAACAAAGTAAAATTAACAAAATATCTTTGGTATGTATAAACATTGAAGATGATTTCGAGTAAAATATGAGCTTTGTTAGTCTTGTATGATTTTTAATTTTAGTTCATTTATATGTTTTGGAGTTTAGTATGACGTTCATTTTCACTGAACTAGTACACATTTTATTTAGGAGCCAGCTGAAGCCCGCCTCCGGGTGCGGGATTTTCTCGCTGTGTTGAAGACCCATTGATGGCCTTCGGCTGTTTTCTGCATTTGGGTCGGGTTGTTGTCTCTTTGACATATTCCTCATTTCCATTCTCAATTTTATTTCATGAACATTGTAGATGTTTAAAGCTGAATAATTGAAAAGGGAAAAACATAGCAGTATTTGACACATATTATCAATTTGATTTAAAGTTTTAAATATTCGATCGATCGATTAAATTTTTCATCAACTTGTCATTGATTTGTGTTGAGTAGAACATAGTTTATTTTTATAATGACGAGGGGAAAAAAGCCAATAATAAATGAAAACGTTTGCTCTTAAAAAGTCTTTTGTGAACCGATTAATTAGTTCTTAATAGGGTATTGCAGAGAGCATTTAGGCGACAATACTTTATTTTTCTAGTAAATCGATAATTTAGAGACATATCAAGGTAACAAACAGAAACTGAGGGAAACTCGCATGAATTCCCAAAGGATCACAACCGGGTGTGTCGACAGGGTAAGTGTCTCCTGCATAACACACCATCACCATGTGAATTAACACTCATTCAAAATGTCACAATTGGAAATAAAATACTCAAAACGTTAGATTTAAATTTTCAATAATTGAGATCTTTTGTGGGGTAAAACATTAACCCCGTCGTTGAAAGTTTGAAAGGCTCATTTAAGCAATGTTTATGTCTTCTAGGAAGTACCATTTTCATGGTACCACATACCAATGAAAACATCATAAAGAGCTTTTAGTAATGCAGCTCATCGACATATAATTATTACCCTTTTGGGTAACCTTGTACAAGAAGAGTCATATATACTCTGTATTTATGAAAATGTTTTATTTTTTTTTTTGGCATGGCGTTTTAAGTTACGATTTATGGATTAAAATATGGTAATTAACTCTTTTTCATATATATAATATGTATGAGAAGAAAGAAAAAAATTCTCGTAATTGTAATTGACGTCCTCTTTCTCAATTGCATTTAACATTATATCGTTTTCTCGAATTTTTAAGTTACTACTGTTTTATTTGTATTATGTGGTATTTATTTGATCAAAATATTCTTTATTCTTAAACGACTGCAACCAACAACCGAACACACAGCAGACTAAGTATTATGTTATACGTTTGCATATTCCGATAGCAGAATGAATTAGCAAACCCCAAAATATCGATACTATTTATATTTATTATACTGTGGATTCAATTATTTTCGTTGGTTGAGGACAAATTGTATTTTCGTTGATATGTAATTTCGTTGTTTTGTGATAGTAAGCGTACAAGAATGTCTTCGCGACGCAAAATTCTACATCAAAACTGATCAGATAAGTCAGATACTGTGTACTATCATCTTATTCAGTTATTGACAAAACAAGAATACGTCTGAAAGGTTTGAGGGTTTTACGTTTTTGCAATGTAAGGGGTCAAATCACTAAAACAGTTAATCACATCCTAATCCTTACTATTATGCTGTTTATAAAGCCCTACATCTAGACAGAATCAATGTTATCTCGTTGATCATTTGAATAAACTTATTCCTAAAGGATATAAATTTCACATCTAAGTAATGTCGTTGAATATTATTTTTAAAGGTACATGTACTTACATCGTATTTGTTTTTGATAAATTAAAACACAACTAAAACTGTACTGCATTACATTTATTAAAACCTTGTATTTGCTTATATTTTTAAGTGCGCTTGGCCACCTTTAATGTGTGTCCTTTGTCAGAAGTTTTTATTTGAGGTGTTGCATCTGGTTGTTGTCTGTCATATTTGTGATTAATTTTTATTTTGTCATATATCAGGTCGTTATATATTTTAGTTAGTATTTTTATTGGAATCGGTTGAATTTTTGTCATTTATGGAACTGCTGTAGCTGGCTATTGGCAAATATTTATACCACATCTTCTGAATTAATTTGTATTTTGCCTACTCCGTACGAAGATATTTATTATTCAAAAACAATTTCCTATACAGGATTTAAATTGTTCTTAAATAAAGAAATTCTAGGGTCATATCTGAATAACCGTCAATTTAAACCTTTTTGTGTTTTATGGCGATTGTGATTTGTTTAAATGACGTGTCCATTCCACCACCTGTCTATTAAAACAATCTTAAACGTGTAATTGGTAAAAAAAACTATTAAATTCTTTATTATGCGAAAAATCTTCATTGAAAATAGCAAATGTTTTCCTTTTATTGATAACAAGACCCTAAAGTCTGCAAAAAATTCATGTATTTTAATACATGCATTTTCGCGTATCATTACAGTTTTATGTCACTATACGCATTATCCTCATATTGGTTAACCTAATAACGATGAACAGCACTGTGTTATTTATAAATATATTAACATATTTATTGATTTAATCTACCTGTCTGATATATTTATAAACAAAATGGTAACCCCATTTACCGTAATAAGTGTTAGATAATGAAAATGCAAGCGTGATGAAAGATTAATTAGTGAATAACAAAATATTTCAATGGATGTAGTTAAATGTCATTTTGCAGTCAACTTGCATTTGATGAGGGTACGTGTGTCGTTATAGCCTTTTGTCACCGTAGGCTGTTCCCTCAAATCGATATACGTATTGATCTTTTTCACTTATCTGGTTTGTTTAATGACTCCACCACAACTGTGTGTACCTTCCTACTTTAATGAATATGACCATCCAATTATTTCGTAAACGTCAAAAGACATGTTAGAAATATTTTAATTTAGCGACAGTATACTTTACTACTCAATCGACATTGTGTAACAGAAAGGAATGAAACTAACAATCTTATAAAAAAAAATCTTTAAATATTTTCAAAAGTTAACTAACAGTTATTAGTTTGTTAATGCTAGTCACTTCAAGATGAGTTTTCATGTTATAACCCAAGTATGGCCAATGAATAATGTTAATCACAATGACCACAATAACATGAGTCAAATACTTGCCATACAATTTATCAGATAATTTGTCAGAAGTTATTATAATACTTCACGTTTAAGGCCGGACTTTGATTGGTTGATACGAGGGATATAATTAACTCGTTATGCTTTCCTCGTACAACCACACAAACCAGCAGAGGTTTAACATTCACTTGTATGAATTGGCGAGTAGCTCATGTATTTTACATTCTACTGGGCAATGCATAAATGAAAAGAGAAACCAGAAGGTGAATTGCGAAATTTTTACTTATTCAGAGTAAACAAATGTTTCATATAAAAGTAAACAATATATACTTTGTACATATACATTTGTACAACAAGACAATAATGAATGAAAAAACATAAAACTATAATACAATAATACATAATACAATAGCTTGGCCTAGGAAGGGGTCAACTTAGCCACCAGGAAAGATGTAATGAAATACATCTTTCCTACCCCACAAAGGCCAAGCACTTGACAAAAAATAGAAAATATGAGTTTAAAGCATACCCATATGGTAAACGACAGTCATAAGAGATTAATGCGAATACAAATTGTACTATTTGCTATTTTAGCTATATACGTTCGAGCTCAATCTATGTCTAACTAACAGTAAAATATAATATATTATAAA